CCCCACTCTCTCTCTCTCTCTCTTTCTCTTTGTCTACTTTTCTTTGCCTTAGCCTCTATCTCTCTTCCATTTGTTTCTCTGTCTGTCCGTCTATCTGTCTGAGCGCCCCTTCTCTCTTTCCTTCTTTGTTCCTTCGCATGTCAATATTCCCGTTTCTGTCCACCTGTTTATTTGTCTATCTTCATGTTTCTTTTTCTATTATTATATTCATATTTCTTCTGTGACCCTTCCTTCTTTCCTAAACCCAAGACCGTTTTTGCTCTTAACACTAGTCAACAGAGATTTTGCCACTGGGAAACCCATGTACTTACTTTATGTTTTTGACACGCTGATTTCAAATCTGAAAACCGTTTCTTTTTCCTTCATGTTATTGAAATTGTTGTTCTTAGTAATACATTTTTATGTCGACAAAGTAGTTTGTGTTTGTGTTTGTGTTATATACGTGAAAAATTAAATCCACAAGATCAGCTCAAGAAACTAACAAATAAAGACAAACTTGCATACAAACATCTTAAATTATAATTGGTGATCAAGATAAACCATTGGCATCGCACATAAGCTGCAAAGCTCGTTGTTCTAGACTATTGAATTGGAATTAATGTAAAAAAGAAAATGACATTTACTGTGCCTATGAATTTTTTACTGGCGTGAATCCACACATCATCACAGTGACTAGTACTTGGCTTGCAAAAATGGGATGTCCAAATTTAATGTGATTTCTTGAGCAGTTGAATAATCGTGGCAATGATAGACATTATATCATAAAATAGAATCCAGGAAGGAGTTAAATGTAGATGGCGAGTACAATTTAACATTATGCCTCCAGTAAATCCACATAAAGTACCCCAGCCCCCACTTCACACAAAACAGCTATTAATGAAAAAATGTGAAAGCTGTGAACAGAAATGGAAAAGGTTTTCAATATCTAAGGGTAAAATGTGAGGGCGCGAAAGGTGATGCAAACGTGAAAGAGGGTAGCACTGAAGGGGAAAAATTATGATTAGAAACACGAAGAGTGCATCTCTAAAAATCCTTTATGGCCAACATACTCAATAAAATAGAAAATATTTTAGTAATTCCAGTAAAACAAGTCAAAACATTGAGTCACATATTGGACCTAACAACATAATTTTGTTATTTGCCGGTGTTTTGACAATGAGTGGTGGGTTCTCTGTTGTCATGTGTCCTTTCTTCTTTTCCAGATTTCTTAGACCATGCGTCCTTATCCTTGCTAAATGTGGAAGCAATCATACTGCTTATTCGTGTCCTACAGTTAATAAACTCCTTTGAGACCGTCAAGAGTCTATTTATGGATAATATTAATAATGCTTTTATCTAATATGACAAAAATACATTTTATTTTAATGGTTTTAAGTAAATCGACACAACTGAAATGTTACTTTCATTAACACCTTCATACTATACAATACTTCTTTGACTTTATGAAAAAACACCAAGGAAGCCAGGCAACATAGGAATCCTTCTGAAGGAACACAAACAGCCAGGAAAAATAAAGAGAAAAAGGAAAGATTTAGATGAAAAATATATAATTAAGATACAATATAACCATCTCTTTTGCAACGTTCTCAATCACTATCTACATCCAAAACAATTATCTCCAACAAAAATATCCACTCTCTCTCTCTTGATTCTTCCACCACACCAAGCGGCCTCCCTGCAATTCAGAATAGAGAGAGATGCTTTCAAATCGTTATACCCAACAGGGGACATATTACAGATTGGGTTAATCGCATGTCATTTTCATCCCTTGTGGTGATCCGGACTGGAATCGGAATGGTGACATTATCGAGACATAGAGCTCACTTTCAGATTCATGTCAGAAGTTAGATCGGGGCTCGGAATACACCCCTTCCTCCCACCACCCCACTCCCCCC